CCCTGCTCCTCGCCGTGGCCGCGCTCTCCGTCGTCCCCCCGCGCCCAACGACCGGCGTCGTCGTCGTCCCCGCCGGCGTGGGGACACCACAGGCGACTTCGTCGACCAGGAGCCGCAGCAGCAGCATCAGCAGGGGCCCCGATGCCGGCGTGTCGGAGAAGACGTCCGGCGCGTGGAGCGGCGTCGTCGACGATGGCGGCAGGCTCCGTGCTGACGGCGGCGGCGGCAACGCGTTTCCGTGGAGCAATGCGATGCTGCAGTGGCAGCGCACGGGCTTCCACTTCCAGCCGCACAAGAACTGGATGAACGACCCCAATGGTACGACCCCTCCGGGGCTCCATGCAACCACCAACCCCTACCGTTGTTTATTGCGCTTTTCTTTCTTTTTTTCCACCTCCCCTTCTCATGCGTGCGTCCTACAAGGGCTGGTACCACCTGATAAAACTTAAGAAATTTATCTGATAACTGATGGCATGCATGTAAACGAAATGATATTATATGCAGGGCCGGTGTACTACAAGGGCTGGTACCACCTGTTCTACCAATACAACCCGGACGGCGCGATCTGGGGCAACAAGATCGCGTGGGGCCACGCCGTGTCCCGGGACCTGATCCACTGGCGCCACCTCCCTCTAGCCATGGTGCCCGACCAGTGGTACGACACCAACGGCGTGTGGACGGGGTCCGCCACCACGCTCCCCGACGGCCGCCTCGCCATGCTCTACACGGGCTCCACCAACGCCTCCGTGCAGGTGCAGTGCCTGGCCGTCCCCGCCGACGACGCCGACCCGCTGCTCACCAACTGGACCAAGTACGAGGGCAACCCGGTGCTCTACCCGCCGCCGGGGATCGGGCCCAAGGACTTCCGCGACCCCACCACGGCGTGGTTCGACCCGTCGGACGGCACCTGGCGCATCGTCATCGGCTCCAAGGACGACGCCGAGGGCGACCACGCCGGCATCGCCGTGGTGTACCGCACCAGGGACTTCGTGCGCTTCGAGCTCCTCCCGGGCCGCCTCCACCGCGTCGCGGGCACCGGCATGTGGGAGTGCATCGACTTCTACCCCGTCGCCACCCGCGGCAAGGCGTCCGGCAACGGCGTCGACATGTCCGACGCCTTCGGCAAGAACGGCGCCGTGGTTGGGGACGTGGTGCACGTGATGAAGGCCAGCATGGACGATGACCGTCATGATTACTACGCGCTGGGGAGGTACGACGCGGCCGCCAACGCGTGGACGCCGCTCGACGCCGAGAAGGACGTCGGCATCGGGCTCCGCTACGACTGGGGCAAGTTCTACGCGTCCAAGACGTTCTACGACCCCGCCAAGCGCCGCCGCGTGCTCTGGGGGTGGGTCGGCGAGACCGACTCGGAGCGCGCTGACGTCTCCAAGGGATGGGCATCGCTGCAGGTACCACCTTGCCATCGCTTTTTTCTATTCATTTCTTGTGCACTTTTGGCCTGGCCTGGGATCCACAGAGGAGACACGTAGGAATGCAAACTACTATTTACAAGATAGGAAATCTTGTGGTCTCTTGGGTTACACCGTGTCGCCATCATGCATCTCGCGCCCATGCTTTGCTGGGCCAACCGTTTTCTTGAGTTTCATTAATACCAATAATACAAACGTTTCTTTAGATATTAATAATTGTTTAACAACATACGATGTATGTAGTAGTAATACTAATCTTGTTGATTGATTGATGTGAACGAGTGCAGGGGATCCCCCGGACGGTGCTGCTGGACACCAAGACGGGCAGCAACCTGCTGCAGTGGCCCGTGGAGGAAGCGGAGACGCTGCGCACCAACTCCACGGACCTCAGCGGCATCACCATCGACTACGGCTCCGTGTTCCCGCTCAACCTCCGGCGCGCCACGCAGCTGGACATCGAGGCGGAGTTCGAGCTGGACCGCCGCGCCGTCATGTCCCTCAACGAGGCCGACGTGGGCTACAACTGCAGCACCAGCGGCGGCGCCGACGCCCGCGGTGCGCTGGGCCCCTTCGGCCTGCTCGTCCTCGCCGACAAGCACCTGCACGAGCAGACGGCCGTCTACTTCTACGTGGCCAAGGGCCTGGACGGCACCCTCACCACGCACTTCTGCCAGGACGAGTCCCGGTCCTCCAGCGCCAACGACATCGTCAAGCGCGTCGTCGGCAGCGCCGTCCCCGTGCTGGAGGACGAGACCACGCTCTCGCTCCGCGTGCTCGTCGACCACTCCATCGTCGAGAGCTTCGCGCAGGGCGGAAGGTCGACGGCCACCTCGCGCGTCTACCCCACCGAGGCCATCTACGCCAACGCCGGCGTGTTCCTCTTCAACAACGCCACCGCCGCGCGCGTCACCGCCAAGAAGCTCGTCGTCCACGAGATGGACTCGTCCTACAACCACGACTACATGGTCACGGACATCTGATGCTGCTGCTGCTGATCCGTCGTCCATCCAACCCACCACTGCACCCAATTTTTTGAACACATATAGCAAAGCATCTTCTTTGTACCTATCCATTCCCATCTATCCTTGCTTGCCTCTCAAAATTTCTTATTTCCCTGCCATAATTTTGGGGGCTTTTTCTTCTTCTTCTTTCTTCTGATTGATACTATTCCTGGCTATTTATCGCTCGTCGAAGCGTAGCTTCCAATTGTATTAGTAGCCATTACAGTGGAAGACGCCAAGTCGATGCAAGGCAAGGCTACATTTGTAATAATGTAGTCTGTGTAGTTGTACATGTATGATGGTGTACCACCACACCAATGAGTTATAAATGTTTTTAGCTCCAAATTAAAGTTTCAGTGCCTCAAGATTACCAACACATGGTAACATGCATCCTGCTGCTCAAGTTGTTTGATTTGCCGTTGTGGTATGGAGCCCTCATGGGGTGTATTATTACAAGAAAACAGCCCTTCAAGGTAATTAGGATACTAAAAAAAAATTCACTGATCATAATGTATTAATCAGCCTCCCATGAGTATTCTCATTCAGCAATTTATTCCAGTCATGGACGCTAATTAATTCATCACTAGCACCGATGGTTTCACTGATAAGCACCACATTGTCAAATCATAGGCTAATTAGGCTTAAAAAATTCGTCTCACAAAATAGTCTCAATCTGTGCATTTAGTTTCATAAATAGTCTATATTTAATATTCCATGCATGTATCCCAACATTCGATGGGACATCGACTAAAGTTTATGAGGTAGCACAAACACAACCTTGGTTAACATGCATGGACAGCTGTTTCGGACTGTGGAGAAGGATGACTGAAGGTAATGCAGAGAGATTCTGCAAAAGACCTGGTTTGATCCAGCACTACTGACAAATACTGATCTGACCTGAACATGCCATGATGCTGTGTGCTGGCTCCATCCTGCCTTGAGAGTTGTTTGATTGATGCCGTTGAACGAAAAAAATACAGTATGGAGCCCTCACTTGGCAGACTGCACCCTCGTTATTATTACAAGAAAACAGCCCTTTCAAGGACCCCAATCCAACCTAGGCATAGGCACATGCCAGTGAACACGAAACTACACACAATCCATCATGTCTGATCATAATGTATTAGGTTAGCTCAGCCTCCTATAGAAACTAGTATTCTCATTCAGCAATGATCCATTTTCCAGTCATGGACACTAGGCAATTCCGAACTTAGGAGCTATTAGATTTGATGGTTTGAGGAGCGAACACATTCACAAGGAAAATCAGAGACCAATGAAATTACAACAGCAAGAAAGCTGATTTATTGTGAAGAAAAACACTGATCTCCTTATGAGACTGATAAGTTCAATCCATCTGTTTATTCCAGTTCAAGTTCCCAAACCAGAGCCTTCTATTATTATCTTTCATTTCAGTCTTCGGACTAATTATTGGTTCACGCATTTGAGTTTCAACAGCCAGCCTGCACCTAGCTCTGAATCCTAACCCTTTTTGTTTTCGCAGATTCGGAGAAGTAGCTAGAAATTGACAAAATGAAATTGCTAGCAGAGAATGAATAGCATACAGCCAGAGACACCCTCAGTGGCTCAGTGATAAAGTGATGAAGCTGTACTGTGAGAGTAATAGTGTAATTAGAAGGGAGTTGCAGGTGAATGGCATGTACAATTGGGCTGGTGTCACCAGCAGGCTGCAAGCCCAGCCATTGGTCACGATTCAACTCCCGCAGGCCCATCTCGGCGACAACCCAACCCACGTCGTCTCTGTCGCTGGTTCGCCCGCCCCCTCCTCTGTTCTCTCCCAACGGACAAAGGCCAAACCCTAGCGAGCGAGCAAGCGAGCTTCCGGCGGGCGACAACCGAGGCGAGTTTCTAAGTCGACTCGATTTGATTCGCCAACCACCACGCAGCAGCCATCGAGGAGGAAGAGGAAGGGAGTCTAGGAGAGCCGGATTTCAGGTTGTTGTTGCTCGCCTCCCCCTCCCTAGACCCTAGCTAATGAAATTCCCCATCCAGAGTCTCTCTACTTCAGTTGAAAAACTATACTTGAGGTTTCCCTTAATCATCATCCAAATCCTCAGTTATACTTGTTTATGCCTCATGCTGCACTACAATTAATTACAAATTGAAATGGACAACAAGAAATTACCATGACTTATTATTCTCACCCTCCTACTCCTGTAATACTCCAACCCAGTCAATTGACCAATTGACCAAATGGATCCAACGAATAGGGATGGCTTGCCGCCTAAAGAGCATACCTATATTTTCACGGGTCCATGCCAATTGAAAGGCCATAATTATCCGCAAAGAATGAATGATATACAAACGCAGTAGGTTCAAACGTTCTTTTGTGTCGCTTCGCGCTTCATGTTTTATCTAGTTTTCTATACAACTATTAAGCATGGTATGTTGTTTGTAAGTATATATGATATGGCAGGCGCGATTGGTTTAGCTTAGGCACCTAATTGTTGGTCCTACTCATGCTTATGCAGTTGCTCCGCTGCTGTAGATTTGATTCTCCTGTGTGCAAGTTGTGAGGAGCGAACACATTCACAGGGAAAATCAGAGACCAATGAAATTACAACAGCAAGAATCAGCAGCGGAGCAACAGCAAGGGGGAGAGGAACAGCTCCCTGAAGATCTCCTCTGCCACTTCGAGCAAATCCTACATGATCACCCCCTCATGTATGCCTCTTTTTTTCCTCATCCATCTGTTTATTCCAGTTCAAGTTCCCAAACCAGAGTTTGTTAATTTCTTCCCATAAAAATATATTCTATTTGCAGTGATGAGGTGGGGTTCTTGCATCCGACACAATTCTGCTCACTAGATTGCACCCAAGATGACAACTCCGCTTCCCAACCTCCAGAGTTCCATCACACAAGATACTTCTGGTGCCGAAACCACAAGCTGGCCATCTCCGTTGAGTTCCTCCCCAAGCTTTACCACGCTGCTCGGGATGCCTACTGCAATGCAAGAGATGCCCCACTATCGCCCACTCATCTCATGAGGCACACCAAGGCCCTACTCATACTTTGCCCCGACCTACTCACCGCATGGAACTCCAGGTATGCAATGCTGTCACTCAATGTGTTCCTAAGGGATTTGCATTTCTCACCTTTTGTTCAATTGAGTACTGCAAGCTCCATGCACGGAGGGAAGGGATTTGGATTCCACATGCTTTTCATGCGGTCCTGCAGGAAGATGGTGCTATCAGCGGAGTATGATTTGACAAAGCTCAAGGATGAGCTGCAATTGTGTGCCTTGATCCTTTCCTACTCGCCAAAGAACGAGAGCACATGGAGCCATAGGTACACCCCATCTTGCACTTGTGAAGCCAGCTTCCTTGTTGACTTCTTTCTTTCAGACAATGGCTATCTATTTGGAGCTGATTTTGATAATGAAATAAAACTGCATAAAATTTTAAATAACTGTCTGCCACAGGAGATGGGTGATAAAACAAGTTGCTGAGCAACATCAAGATATGTTGGAGCTTATAGCGAATGAATCCATACTGGTCAAAGAGATAGCAGAGGTTATAACTCATGAATACTTGCTTATTCAAGCCGCTAACGGTGTCAATTTGACTGAGCTTGCCATATTATAAGTTACAATGTTCCATGTCTCTTATATGTAACTGGTAATTAAACTTATACAAAAGTACAGTTACAGACAGTATGCACAAAGATAATTGTATGCCTTTTACAGAAATCGAAAATGAACTATCGTGCATGGAGGCATCGATGTTGGCTTATTCCTTACATGACAAGGAAGCAAGTGAGGATAAACGATTCGAACTCTTTGAAAATTCCTTCTCTGTGATTCTTAATCCTGTAGCTGGACTTCCTAGCTACAGAATATCTGCTTGTCAGTTACCAATTTCTGTTTTCTGAAGGTGCTGGATGAACTGAAGGAGTCAACAAGATGGAGTGAGCTACATGTTGCTGACAACTGCTGCTTCCACTATCGAAGAGTTAGTAGATTCCCTATGTTTGTAATTAGTACTATATAATACTTGAAGCAAATAATTGTTTATTACTTGACAATTTTCATATTGACCAGTAGCATCATTTAAGAGCTGCACAATATGTTTTTTTGAAGCAACAGGAGGGGTTATCCCCTACTGAAAAATTTTATTAAACAAAGGAAAAGTCTTACAGAAGTACTCAGGAAACAAAGAAGGAAATGAAAAAAAAAGGAAGAGAAGGGCAATATGTTTGCAAACCAATTTGCAGAGCTTTTGAATTCACACCCTGCTTTAGACTTTATGTTAATGTTAATTTTGGACTTCGATTTGTTGAAATTCCTAAAGACAGTATAGCACACGTATACTGTTTGCTAACCAATCTGATTGACTGCATGTGTACTTACCTGCCTTGTTGCATCCTTGCAGTCCCTGCTGCTTGCACTACTCGACAACCGCCTTGGGAATGGAGAGGATTCCCTTAGTTGGGAGTCAGAAATTTGCCTGCTATGGAAGGTATGGTGTATTCGTTTAAAAAGCTAATTACTTTTTCGCTATAGTTATTTGTAATCACTTCATCATGTCCTCTCTTTCCATTATGAATGTGATACAAAGCAGATAACATAGGATCCATGTGCATATCATTGTGTTTTACAACATTGCTTTTCTTTAGGCAATGGTTAATTGATACCAACCCATCTCGGTGCTGCAAAGTTGATTGTATATGACCTGACAGGAGGAGCTTAGGTGGGATGAGACGCTGATCAGACGCTACCAAGGGAGAGAGGTTTGAAAATTAGCCTGCCGTTGTTCTTCCACTTGTGAATCTTGTTGGTCGAGTTTGTGTTTGTTTATACTAGCTGCGGTGGTGTATTTCTGCAGTCGTTATGGAACCATCGTCGGTTCCTTTCACACTGGTGGATACAGCACTTGCTCACTGTTGAAGAAAACTGCTGTCAGCACTCTACAACTGTTTGCTCAACGACATCCCAGATGGATATGTTTGTCACCCAGGAGATACAACTGCTGTCAGAGTTCCTTCATGACCCTGTGGATGAGTTTGAGGAGTCGCGTGTCCAAGCGGGGCTTTCAGCACTCTACATTCTGTGGATAACAAAGGCAATCAGCAGCTGGTTTTACCCAGCTTGCTTGCTTAGTATTGTACATTTGCTAGCATAGATTCTTGCCCTCTCAGGGGTTTAGTTTTAACAGGGAAATTGCTGCGTGTTTTGTTGGATGCAGCAAGTCCCAGCTGTGAAAGGAAAGCTGGAAGCGAGGCTGCATTCCTTTTCCATGGGGAAGCTGAAGGACGTGTTGGCAGGAGCCTGCAGACCGGAGAAGAGGTTTTGGATGAATTTGCTGGGCCTGGCTGATCAATCAAGTGATATACATTAATACATGGCCTTTCTTGTTGAGTTTGAGCCTTCAACATACATGACATGGAGGCCAAGTCTTTGCTTCAGGTCCTGTCTCCTATGTGGCTGTAAACTAGACTAAACTGGGGATTATTGGCAAGTTGAAAACAAAAAAGAGGATGTTTGTTGTTTACCCTCATTTGACTCACATTGGAAGAACCTGAAAGTTTCAAGATGCCCAAGAGCGTGGTGAATTGGACTTATTCTAAATTTCTTTCAATAATTAAGCTCTACATTTAGCCTGCTTCACCCCCTTGTGTCTAGAAGTGTTTCTGTTGTTCTACCACACGAGTTTTATACCCTATGTTTCAATCCTACTCTAGCATTGGCAATTATAAGAATGTAAAGACATTAATTGAATTACTCAAATGTAAATGCTCAAAGTAAAGATAAGGAGAGAAACGCGGCGATGTTTTTCCGAGGTATCAGAGAATCGCCACTCCCCACTAGTCATCGTTGGAGCACCCGCGCAAGGGTGTAGCTCCCCTTGATCCACGCATGGATCAAGTGCTGTCTACGGGCAGATTCTTCGACACTCCGTCGCGATGAATCGCTCACAACCGCTCACACCATGACTTGGGTCATTCACGAGCTCCGCCGGATGATCACCAAGCTTTCAATTACCACCGAGCCGTCTAGGTGATGGCGATCACCAAGAGTAATAAGCATAAACTCTCACTTAACTAAGACAAACCTAATGAGAAAGGTGGATGCACACTTGCTACTCCCTATGCACTAATGAAGTCCTTAATCTTGGATTATCAAATCTCAATCACCCCACGAGGCTCTTGCTCTCCCTTGCACTCCAAAGGTGTTTCTCAGCTGAATAAATGAGCAAGAGAGCTAAGTTGAGCGAGTGGGAGAAGTATTTATACTCCCCACTTCAAAACATATCCGTTGTGGTCCAACTCAGCATTTTTCGGGGTGACGGGGTGACCAAACGCTCAAGTCAAAATGACTGGACGTGTCCTGTCAGTATCCAATGGCTACATTGCGTCATCCTATCAGAGGAGTCTATTAGAGGGACCAGACTCACTGCAGCGTTCGATCTACCTAGACCTGACGCGTCCGGTCGACAAATTTCCTCTCTGGATGCTTACTGTTGTTGATCGGACACGGCAGCGCGCGAGTCCGGTCACTTTCTTCTTCTTCGTCCGGTCAGCTATCTGCAACGATACCGTGCTGCTACAATTGGTCGGCACCTACGCGTCCGATCCTAAGTAGGAGACAGTGTCCGATCGTCCTTTTGCCCCTACAGCGCGCGCCAACAACTGACCGGACTCTGCACAGTAGCGTCCGGTCACTGCTTCTCATGCGTCCGGTCAATGAAACAACACTCCATTCACTTCCAAATCATGTACTTTTGTGAATGAGTTTGACTTCAATCAATCTTTGGGCTATACCTGAGCTACCTAGTGCTAAGTTTGACAAGTGTGCACCACACCTAAGACATTAGACTCATCTAGGTCAAGCACGGCCAAAGAAAAAATAAAGTCCTTAACTACTTTAAGTGTCTCTCCAACGTCAAACGACACTTAGAACTAGTCCGTCATTAGCCTTGTCGTCTATCATTTAAAAACCGAAACGATTTTCATCAACAAAGCATGAATACCATAATTGCCCAATTAATCATCATTACCATAACCTAACTCAATTCACCTCTACAAAACACACGTTAGTCACATTAATCTTGTATCGTCATTAATCACCCAAACTTAACTAGGGGCCTAGATGCTTTCAGAACTCTCCAACTGTAGCAAGTGCGAAGCTGGAAGCATTTATGTCCCTGCATCCTCAACCCCAAGAACAAATCTTGAAGAAAGGCTGAGTTGCTAGTAATGCCTTATAGATGATACACACCCACTTGGATCTAATAAGGCCCTGTTGTAGGGTGTGTGTATGTATTTATATTTATGTAACAGCTAGAGAGTACAGTATAACCCAAACCCAACTCAATGACCACTAGCTATGGTCCACCTTGTCAACTAGAAGAAACTATTATACCTGCCTCTAGGACCAACAACTCATATGAATCAATTAAACCTGTTTTATCTTACGCTTTTAAATCACAATTTATGTTAATCACTGCATATAATGAGCTGTAAATTCACAACCTAAACCCTTCATCTCTTCCGAAAGCTGTTTGCTGACAGTACTAAAGGCCATTTCTACTTACAATTACGCATATGACCATATAGGCTTTAGTTTATTATTCCTTGTCGTAGATTGAAGTGCTGTTCACAGTCCGTCCGTTATTTTTTTCCCTATATATAAATCAGCGACACCTTCATGTTTTCAAACGTGTTTCAATCATGAACAGGCAAACTGCTAACCACTGCAGCCCTGCTCATGTAATCCTCTGCTATTCTGCTATGATTCGCGTTGCCAATGAGGGACCAGGCGGAGGGGAGTGCGGACCGAAAATGACATGGATGGATTGGTCCAGCGGATCCATCATATGTTCTAGCGCGCGCACACCGCACCTGGAATCAACCAGACACCGATCGATCGAGTAGTACTGCAGCTGATGATGACAATAATAAACAGGGTAAAGTATAATTTACATCCTCCAACTATCGCCAAAGTATAGATTTCAACCTCAAATTTTAAAACCGGAAAACTTTGCCTCCAACTCTGGGAAAAGTTCAAATTTCAAACTTTGTTGGCGATTTTATGCGTATGAACCGTATTTTTAATATTTTTAGGAGGCGCTGAAATTTTATATTATTTTTTAAGCATCTTAACGTCCTCAAATGAAAAAACTCAAAACTACAAAGTTGTAGATCTCATTGAGAGCTACAACTTTGGTATAAAAAGTATTTTCATTTAACTCCATACAAATAATATATTAGTGCTCTAATGCGGCAAGCGCTAGTTGACAATTATTATGGTGCTGAAATTTTATATTATTTTTTCGAGCATCTTACTGTCCTCAAATGAAAAAACTCAAAACTACAAAGTTGTAGATCTCATCAAGGTCTACAATTTACATATAAAAATTATCTTCATCCGCCAACGTGTTGAAGGGTTTTCTATTTTTTGAAATTAGGTTGAAATCTATAATTTAGCGATAGTTGGAGGGTGTAAATTATACTTTACCCTAATAAATAATAATGCTGATAGTTATTGTCATCTGCATGTTTCACTCAGGATATATGATACTTGTACTTGCATGTGTTTTCTTGAACTGCAGTTATTTTGGACAGTGATTATTTCCTCGGTTTCGAATGCAGAGTCGTTTTGGTTTTGTTCTGAGTCAAATTTCTTCAGTTTTAATCAAATTTATAGAAAAAATGTATGAACATGTACACTATTGAATTAGGTTCATGAGATACGCCATGTAATTTATGTTGACAACATGATTGTTTAACATTATAGATATTGATATATTTTTCTATAAGCTTAGTTAAATTGAACAAGTTTGATTTAGTACAAACTAAAACGACCACCTGCACCACAGTGATGGTATCGATCATTGATTGTTATATCAATCAATATAGCTAATCATCAGGCCGTGATGATGCTGAGAATGGGTATCCAAAAAAATCGAAGGGATAGAGATGATCCACACCATACCGTACAGGTGGTACAACGCAAGAAAGAGACTGGGACCCTTGCATGAGCATGAGAGACCACATGACCAGAGGCTAGCGCCCACGGCCACGGCATCGATTTCAGGCTTTCTAGTTCATCTTGAGATGGAACAATTGAAATACTATGTCTACATAATGTATTTGTTGATATTTGTATAGAAGTTAACATATATTTTTCAAAGTTTTTTTTTTATGAAAACTAGAGAAGATTCGTTTAGAAAACTAAAGTGTCCTATTCGGAATGGATTCAACGGTTACCATTCGGCTTGCCATATGTGCTCACCAGAGTTGGCTCCCTCTTAAGGCTTCCGATACAATGTTTAAAAAAATCTTTTAAAAAAAATCATATATACAAAAAATGTTTCAACCTTATAGTTAGTGTTAGTCCATCAAATCTACTACGTTTTGAAATCAGACTTTATCATGACTATACACGCATGCTATGCTAACTTGAATGAGCACGGGTCATGCGTTCATGTCACGTACCGAACAACAATTGAATTAGGACTCTTATATCTAATTCTTAGTAAAACCACTATGACTCTTATGCTTACGGGAATGAAGGACAGACGGACCGTGTGTGTGTGTTGGGGGTGGGGAGTGAAGGATGGAAGAAGAAAATATATTCTTTAATATTAGGTATAGATACATAGATATAGATATATTATTTCATTCTCAAGTATGCAATACTATCATATTAGCAGTAGCTAGATACACAATCAAGGTTTGATTCAATTGACGAACTTAATTATCTTGTTGTGATCAATATTGACAATTCCAAGATGAAGGAACTTGTCTGCAATACCTACTTCGAACTGACCAGGATCAAAGGAAAATAGCACTAACAGGCAGCAAGAGAAACTAACAACGAGACTAATCAATGACAACACTGAACAAATTAACTAAACAACAGAGTATATATATTGACACATTATTTTTAGAAGGAATTATAAACCATCATTCCAATTGGACTATATTGCCTCTCCTCATCTGTCAAAATATTTATTTATTTACACACGCAAAGGGAAATTAAGGAACAACGACACCTGCTGCCAAGAACAGTGAACAGCGTGCCTACTGGCCCAAACCGAGCCAGTCACGACGACGATGGCGCGGCGGCCTCAGGCTGCGCGGTGGCGGCAGCTCCGGCGGCAACAGCGGCCGGCCCGCGGCACGTCGGGCAGGACGAGTGTCGTCCCCCCGCGAGCCAGCACTCGATGCAGCGCGCGTGGAAGCCGTGGCGGCAGGCCGGCATGACGCGCACGGCGTCCCCGTCGGCGAACTCGGCGAGGCAGATGGCGCACTCCGCCGCGGCGCCCGCCAGCTTGGTGCCCGCCGCGGAGTACACCAGGGCGGGAAGCGGGG